CGTGCCTTAAATACACAGGCGGCAAATAAAAAGAGAGGCTTTTAGTTTTTCGGAGTCAGTGACCACCGGAAATGCGCCATTGAGCTTAGCAATCTCGATAACAGGAAGAAGACAAGAAATAATGACTGTCCCTAAAAAACTTTCGGAAGTGGTGTTCAGCATTTCCGATCAAGAAGCGCTTCTGATTTTGTCTTCCAATAAACGTTTGGAACATTATGGTAAATTCGATTAATTTTGATCTTTGGAACAAAATTTGAACCAATAACACGAGCGGAACTGCAACAAGATATAACGGAGGCTGTAAAGTGTTCCACCTCATTAAGTACTTAACATCACTCTATATCACTATCAATCTAGATACTGCGAGCTCCCTCATAGATCAAAAACCTATTGTTTATTGCACAAGTAAACTTAGGGAAACTGAAACATACGGTATTTTGCTTTTCAGTTTATTTCGTAAAAATAATAAACCACCATTTTATCGGTTTAAGCCACTTGGAATGTTGGGAGAACATTCGACGTTCTCCCAACATTCTAAGTGGGTTTTTCCGCCTGTAAACCGAAATAAAGTACGGTCTATTGCACAACAAAACTAGGAGCGGTACTGGGAGCTGTTATCGAAAGGGTGTATGCTCGAATGCAATTTTTTGGTTTATTGGTAGGTGGGAAGATACACGCTGAATGGGTGGGAGAAGGGAAGTCAAATGTTCAGTAAACTCGCTGCTATCATTTAAAATATGTACTTTACATTCCATGTTATCGAAAGGCTTGTCTTTTGCGCACCAATAGTTTTGATATTCGTTGTAAACATTCCTTGATCAACATTCATTGATCATTTCCAGATGTCTTTTTCCAAGTTCGTATCCCCTTGTCACGGTGACAGTATTGCGATATACAACTCTACCAGCGGAGCGGTCAAGTGTCAGGCCTGTGTTAAATGCCCCCAAGGACGAGGCCTCTCTGTGCAATGCAGTTCTGTTCAAAGCCCAGAGACACCCATAGTTTGCGAGCCATGTGTGCATGGGAAAACATACTCATCTGGAAAAGACGCCGGGGCATGCTTGAGCTGTGAGAATTGTGAGGAGTATCGCGAAACCATAAAAGCCTGCACTCTGACTTCCAAGGCAGTGTGTGGAAAGTGTAAGCCTGGCGCTTACCAAGATGACCAGCTAACACGATTGTGCCAGCCCTGCTCCCGCTGTTGTGATGATCAAGATGATCAAGTCGAGCCACAGTGCCAAGAAATGCCTGAAAACAAGCGGTGCAGTTTTCACAGATCACACGTATGCAGCAAAGTTATAACTCGTGCAAATTTCAGCTCAGTCAGCTCTGTGGAAACAAACCACACAGCATCACTGGTATTGGTGTCGTCTCCCACAAGCCAGGTAACCACCTCATCGAGCATGCACACTGCATATCAGAAGACCCCGGTGGCTGATCGTCCTTCGAGAGCCGCAATCATCGGTGCTGCTGTTGGTGTTACATTAGCTGTTGTCCTGTTGCTGTTGGTCATTTGCTATTTTCTTAAAAAAAAGAGCAATCACCGAGTAAATAAGAGGGTTAATGACGCCGAAAGGCCGCAAGAAACACGAAGCAAAAAAGAGTCTAGTGGAACTGATTTAGAACGGTTAAACACAGAAAGGTCACAGACAGCAGAAGATAGTAACGCCACATCGCCAGGGTCCAAGGAAACTCAAATACTTGTCCAGAACAGTACAGGTCAGTGAACCTACATGACTAATCAAGCTTTGAACATGATTTTCACTGAAAGCATCATAGGGATTTCTCTCAACTTGATATCTCCTTTTTTTACTCAAATATTTCCAGATGCCTGCAAGCTATCAATAGAGGAAAGTGAGGCTACTTCGCCAGGTGTCGAAGAAACTCAGCCACCGGACTACAACAACACAGGTAAACCCTTTGTGTGATCTAACCTCTAGTTACGATGTTTTCAAACGTGCTCTTTATAGAAGACAGTCTGACCAATCTCCTTGATTTATCTTTTTATCATAAACTTCCTTTGGTCTACATGCCGTAGAGGCTTATAGGAAATAAGAAAGTAGTTAGAGGAGGCATCCAGGTCGTGTATATTTTCATGAGTAGGGTTCCAAAATTACTTCTTCCCCCAGATGGAGGGGATCCAGTTACTATTCCCACCCACCCACCCGCCCCTTCTTTAACTTGAGGCCCTCGATGGTCAGTGATAAAATCATTACAACTATTGGAGTATAACTTTAGAGATACCCGGCAATAAGGTAAGATCGTGTATGGTCAAAACAACGACGGTGATCACATCCGAGAGTTTGAGAAATTTGAAAATAAAACAATAAAAATCTTAGGTTTTTTTGTCAGTTCATTGTTACCAACTGGTTAACAATAAAGAGTGTATATACCTGATTCTTGAGTTTTCTTTTTTTTTGTCTCCTATCTTAGAGCACCAGCTGTTCAAGAAGGCTCCCAAAGACAACAGTTGTCACACTATGGTGAAGACGACCACTATAAACACCGTGACCTACTGTTCAACTTGTAGTTCTGGTCCAGAATCTACAGGGTATGGAGAAGAATGAAGAGCGGTTGTATAGATAATAATACTTCAGGTTTTCAGTCTCGAAATTCGATGACACTGGTTTTGTATCCATTTGAATTTGTTCATTGTCCGTCGGATGATGATCTCGGGTGATGATCTCGCAGTGTCTAAACGAACGAACATTTATGACAAAGCGATACTCTGTTAGTGAATACCTAGCAAGCGAGGGGTCCGTTTCTCGAAAGTCCTGCTGACTTAACAAGTTCGAAGCCTTATTTAAAAATCAAAATTTAAGGAATAGAGAGGCTGGTCATTTCACCTTAACCTGTCCATCTTGCTTCCTTAGCTGATAGTTTTATTGCATAATTTTTTCAAAAATATTAAAACTTCCATCTAGAATAAAAACATAACAACTTTATAGGCCCGTTAACTTACCGGGACCTTCGAGAAACGAGCCCCCTACGTAAACTAGACGGAGTGTTATGCGTTTTAAATTAACAACAGTTCTTCAAATACTGTGATTCAAACTTTGCTTGATATATAAATGAATTTCTTTGGTCCACCACTGAGCTATGGGAGACTCGCGGCAGGCTTGGCTGTTGCTAGGATAGGATGGTCGATATGTAATGTTTATGCGCAATGATTATGTAAATGAAGATGGTAAATTTTATGCCTGGTGATTTTAAGTGAACGGTGATCTTAATCAGTAAATGACACTGGCATATTCGGAGAAAAATAACATAATTCAATGGGAATAACTCTTCCAGTCATTCATGTGATTGATTGGTCTCTAACGGATTCACTTAATTTTTTTCCCATTTGGATACATTTTCAAATAAGCAATTTACTGCCTGATCGAAATTGGGGCATAACTGTATCGCTTTGTCCAATGTAAACTCTATAGTTTCGACTTATTTGTGTTTTTTATTTTTTGAAAAGCATACTTTAGGGAAAAAAGTGCATAGTTTTCGAAAACGAGCATAATTTTGAACATAATTTGGAAAAAAGCTGAGCAATGCTAATAGCATAATATGCTACTTCTATTAGGGTCTAGTCCTTTACCCGTGTTAGAACGTAATGGTTTTAGGTTACCTTGCATCTAGAGTTTACCTTAAGAGCGATTATGAATAAAAAGCTTTGTGGTTAATTTTCTATGGAACAGTCGCTGCCTGTTTATTTTTTTTTCTTTAGGGGCTTACAAATATGCCATACCATGATTTGAAAATAAAATTGCGCGTTTCTGGTTGGCTGACAACGAGTTAACACTTTTATGAACGACAACGAATAAATGCAATATCGGCAGGGAAAAAAGAGGACAAACGTAATGGATGGAAATTTTAGTTCGCGCATGCGGTCTACAAGAAACATCGAGTTAATTATTACTTCTCTGGTTAATACCAAATTATGTTTTTGCATAAATCAAGCGTCCATGGCAACCCCTCGGGCCAAGATCTAGTTTAGCCTATGAAATCTTGCTGCGTATGCAATGTATGCGAGCGAAATTTAGCACGCGGATGCATGCACATAAAAGAGGCACTTGCTGTCGAAAATTTGAGTAAAATCGGTCAAATTTTGCCTGTGTTCGACGAAAACACGTTGCCGTACTGGAGTCCAATAAGCATACCCTACGAAATTGACTGAAAACTTTGATTTCAATTTGGAAAAGGCCCCAATTTTTCCCAGCAAACCAAGAGTCACAAGAGAAGACTTGAAACCTTACTGAACAACTGACAGAGGTAAGTTTTTTAATCCGAATTGTTTGAGAGTCCATTCGAGGCCCTTTTTGATAAGTTAAGATCGGCTGTTATGCGACACCGTTTTGAATTTCGGAGGTACTGAATTTCAAGCAAAACAGTCTGAAAACGGCTGGAAAGCTTTAGTTTTGGTTCCAAAGAGTGCGGTAACACTTTTATT